TATCACTGCTGGCGTTGGTGTGAATGCAAAGAAAGTGGGTTTTTTTTGACTGAGATTCTATTGGTGTTAACTAGACTGCAGTTTAATGTACATATGTGTGTATGGTTTGAAACTTATTTCTGAATAATGAGATCCCTGGGAGAAATGGTTGGAAGTAGCATTTGTCCACTGATATTAACTAGCTAGTTCATTTTAGCTGCTCATTTGCCAAGATAGCTTTTAAGGTAGCTTTTAAGCTTTTGAGAAAGGGTAACATCAGGGTAACATCATAACAAATTTATTTAAATATTTATTCATTATTCATTTTTTGTTTCATTTAATGATCCCATTAGAAGTGGTTGTAAGTGGCATATGTTCACTGATAGTAATGGCTAGTTCATTTAGCTGCTCATTTGCCAAGATACCCGGTAGCTTTTAAGTTAAATGAATTGGTAGTTCAGAAGGACACAAGAACATCATAACAAATTTATTATGTGTTTATTATTTTATTATAACATGATTGATAATAGTTAATCAGTTTGAAATTATAATTGGGTTAGATGTACACTACTGGTAGGTAGCTGCAAATGCATCACAAATAGTGCAGCAAAAGTGAGGCTTAAAGCTGTCCAAAATAAAATTTTTCATTGAAAAATGTTTACTTTATGTATCTTTCTGGAGTGAACAGCGTTTTTTCTCTGATTAACCTATCTTTGGTTCTCCTTTCCTGACACTGGCCATAACTCTGGAACAATCTGAGTAAATAAAAAGGTTCCCAAGAGTGGATTTGTCAAAGTCTGGAAGGCAATAATTTAAGCAAGCGGTAAACTAACCATTGTTGGTAAAAAATTTTGAAAGCAGTAATTTAATCAAGAGGTAAACCAACTCTGTCAGGAATGGATGGCCACTGTAGGAAAATTGGAGTAACTGTTGAAAATGACTTAAGCCAGAATTTCCTTCAAACCTACATGTATCTAGGTTTGTGAATTGCTGGCATCTTTGTGATTTTTTCCTTCAATAAGACCTGTTCCAGCCAATTTTTCCAGCAACTCTTTTCTCAGAACATGTTCCACAAAACAATCTGCTCAGCTTTATTTTAAAAACTGATATTTTTCATAGGTTGGCAAATGGTTTACCTTGTCCTTTATTTCCAGGTTACATAAGTCAGCTTAAAGAAAAAAATACTCAGTCACTCTAAAAGAAGCTGGATCAGCCTGAAGTGTAGACAGGACTTGGATATTTTTAAGTCTAGCAATATATTGCCATGGGAACTCAAATAATCAAGGATCATTGCTTTTTATTACTTACATTTGTTCGGAAGTGAAAGTTTAATGTTATGAAGTGGTATGACCAGACTGCCCTTTTTAATTTCCATTAAAACCCATGGTCTTATGGCCTTTGCTTTATGATGCTTCTTTAGGATGCAGTGAATGCCATTTGAGGAACTTTGATGGGAAATTTGAGGTGGATGATTGTCCATGGAAATTGAATTTGCACAGCCTCATTGATTCAGCTGTCTTGTCATGATAAAAAGTTTTCTTAGTGAGAGATAATTTCCATTTAGCTTTTCTTGACTGCCCCAAGGTGACCTTAATGAAAATACTACGTTATTGGAGAATGTAGTAAATAGGAAATATTTCCTTTCCTACAGCTAGTTATGATAATCTGTAGCATAAGCTGTATTTGGGATAGGAACTTTTTTTTTATAGCTTTTGTACTTAAACAGTTGAAGAAGTGGATTATAATGAATGTTATTTCTTTGCAATTTATGTATATCATATATTATAAGATTCTCATCAAGTGTGCATAAAAATCCCACACATATATATTAATTTTTAGTTTCTTCCTGCATCTGATTTATAAAAGTTCAGCTTATTTTAGCCCTGATATGAATGTTCACAATCAAATATTTTTGTTGCTTATAAATCCTCCTTTAACTGGAATAATCCTATGTTTAGTCAAAAGGGTTCACATTTATTGACTAATTTGGAGGAAAAATCAACAGTTATGTTATCAGTATGAGTTATGATTTGTCCCATCATAATCAACATCAGACTTAATTTACATATATATATGCATGTACCCTGATGCCTGGCATCAACATGGGCTTAGGGTGGGAAATGGCATTTATTGCAGTATGAAATAACAAATGGATTTGACTGATGTGGGTTGAGTCTGACATCATATTCCAAGATCATGTGGTTGCTAATATACATTTGGTACAAATGTACTGGGAACACAATAAAATTTTGCCTGATTATATATTCTATAAAACTATAATGGCTGACAGAAAATTATTGATGTATCATATAATTGCTTCAATGGAAGTCCTGTCTAAGAGTAGACAAACGACGAAATTGTGAATATATAGCACATGCGTGCATACTGGCACATACACGTACATACACTCAATCATACATGCACACACACACAGATACGTCTGCTTGCATGTGCACACTCATGACACACATAACACACATGAACAATTTACATATTGACACCCTAGAAAAAGGTCATGATAGTATAATTGTACTCTGTCAACCATAGAAAAACAGAATTTGATACTATTAATGGGAATAATGTGTTAAGCTTCATGCCTGATCATTGATTGAGCCCACTGTGATCCCAGCCAGGTGTAATGTTACATCAGAAGCATGCCTCACCTAATGCAATTCCCAAAGTTCTTATCATCATCTAGACACCCGCAGTGAAGTAATTGCTTGAACGTTTTTGAAACAAAAAGAAATAACTTTAGGTTAATGGGCTGATGCAATATATTTCTTTTTAACAATAATGGAAAACAGGACAAAAAGAAGCCTTGTCTTTGGACTGATATCTGTGATATGTTGGATGGGGGATGCAACACCTTTAATACAAAGAATTTGACATCACAGATAAAGATTGATGAAATGACTTTTGTGTTAATTATATACAATTTAGAAGAAAGACATTAATGATTATGATGTCACTTTATCTTTACTGAACATCAGAATTTGGGGTAATAATAACACTTCCAACTTTATTTTGACTTGCAAAGACACTTTCTGTATCAAAATATTAAACCTTTTTTCTAGAAATTTGAAGATATCTTTCATCATACCTCTTAAGTGTAGACACTAGTATAACTGGAATTAAGGTTTGATGTAGTTCCTTGTGACAAGGTGTATGTATGCAGTACTCGAGCTTTACTCTAAAAAGAATAGGCTACATTTATGTTACTATTACGGTACCCTCTACCAGGGCGACTGATAGATTTTTACAGATATTCACAGATATGTCTCTAGCTAGATAGATTGTCATTTTAACTCTAAGTGACTTAGAGTTAAAATGACAATCTATCTAGCTAGAGACATATCTGTGAATATCCGTAAAAATCTATCAGTCGCCCTGTTAGAGGGTACTATTACGGTACCTACCAGTACACTCCCTCTCAGATTCATATTACTGCTGCTGCTGGTTTTGAGCCATTTAAATAGGCTCTCAAGATCTGCTTTGATCTTGGATGAAAGAGTAATTTACAGTAGCCGACAGTGTTTGCTATACTTATGATTCCAGGATTTCAGTTTTCTAGCTCTTAATTTCTTCTTTGTTTCATTTGACACCCAAATTACATACTTTCATTGATTTTGGGATTTAGAAACCAGGGTAGTGCCATATTTCTTTTTTCAATCCTCACCATATGTGACTTTCAGCATCAGATTGGATTATATCTTTAGTCTGTTAATTGTGCTTTGGGGCTGATAGATGGTGGGCATGTTATAAATTGATTCATTAATTGGTGGAGATTAAAAAAACATCACTTACACTCCAACCTTGAGCAGCTAGTCTTAATAATGAACAAGCTTGTAGATTCTGATATTGTGAGGTTTACTGAAATAGAATGTTTTAAGTGATAAATTTTTTTAAATATTGAAATTTTATTATAACAATAAAGAAGAATATATTCTCCAGAAAAAAAAAATATGTCAATATTGTTGATTTATAAAAAAAAGTAAGTGTGCAGAACTGTTTTCCAGTGTGATATATGTGACAGAATTTGTTGCCACATTGACCTTTGAGACATTCATACCTAAACATTTATATTATGTCTTCATGATAAATACCATTTTGTAAAAACAGTGCTGTCAAGGGAGATTGTTTTCTCTCAGTCTGAAACCTGTAAATCACTCTTGTTAAAAAAATTATCACTGCAGAAAAGCAGATTTCCTATGACATAATTAAGTATCATTATTTTTCCAATATATTTTGAGGTGTTTGGCCTCAGGTTTCTTGTTTACTTGGAAGAACTAATGACCACTGCTCTTGCTCAACCAGGTATGTACTCTAAGGTAGTGAATAATTCATGATTATATATTACTTGGGGAACCTGCTAAACCAACTACTATTACATGGGGAACCCACTAAGCCAACTACTGACTAACTTAAAATACAGGTTATTAAAGATAACCATATTATACTGGGGGTTACTTATAGTTCAAACAGCATGGACTAATTGAATTAATAATGCCCCAAGAAGTCATTGGAAAGGGGAGCAAGTTTTAAGGATTTTAGGCTTAAGCGTGGGTTTTGCCATAGTGCTTGGCAATATATAAGATGAACATGTGTAGTTAATAAAAGTAATATACCTACTATGGTGTGTAACTTCAATGTAAAGGAGGTGTAGGGGCATCACTTGAAATTCCATCTACTCGTTACAGTGACATGAACATTCTCAATATTGTATAGGCTGGATTGTAGATGACGGCAGCACGTGATTTATGTGGCTCTGAAGGAGTAATATAAAAAAGTTCAGATGTCAAAAACACTACAACTGATTCAGAAACCACTAGAACTGATTCAGGTGTAGTTGCAGATATCAACAATAAATCTACATCAGTATCTATAAACTCTAGCATCAAGGTCGTAACTATAGAGGAGGACATCACACAATATGGAAACAGAGCCTTCAATTAGCAAAGAGACAGAAATTTCGCAAGATAAAGTACCATATACCATACAAACTCAACATAGTTATATTACAGAGCCAGGGGATGAGCAGTCATATTCTCAAAATGGTGACCAAAATGCAGAATCAGAAATGAAATCAGTGGAGCTTACAGTAGAACAGGAAAAAGTTGAAGTGTTACATCCAGCTGAGACACAGGGTCCACTAGTTACAGCAGGTGAAACACAGGTTCAATCAAAGACTAGAGTGAAAGGAGTTCTCTCCAGTGATACCTGTCCTGCCATCTTGAAGGATTCACAGCTCGGCTATCCAGACTATCCTTCTGATCGTGACAAAGAACAAAGAGGAAACATGGCAGGTCCCTCTACTGCCAGTGATGTTGACAACAATCTGACAGAACAAGATGAAGTGGGGTGGTCAAAGCAGATGACTGACACTGTGACTGGGCCTGACATAGAAAGACCTGTGGAAGAGAAAGTGGTGGAAGAGCTGGCATTGCTCAAGAATTTAAGACGGGCACCAGTTTCTCCAAAGATAATTAAGCATAAGGGAAGAGTTGGAAGGCTTCACAAATTAGAAAGGTAAGTGGAGGTCTTACAGTAGATTTATCTTATCAGGCCATGGGAAAGACATATTTTGCTTCCATGTGGAGTGTTTTGAACCATTTATTGAACAGCAAAACAAACATTAGCTTAGGGATAAGCTTTAAATTATAGAAAAGCAGCAATTTTCTCAAAAGATTTGCATGTGGCACCAATATAAATAAATAAATAGAATACAATAAAATAAAACGAACAATACCTGAAGCTACCCATGCATAGCTCTCTAATTCTCCCCATTACTTTTCAACTTCTTACATCAAAACACTTAAATTTTGCTCATAATTAGAGCGATTGTTACATGCACTCCTTCCCTTGTGTTCTCTCTTTGTAACAAGCCCAGACAAAATGACTAAATTGGTTAAAAAGTGCTTATTTTGCGAAAATCTGCTTTTTTCCAAAATGGAAAAATGCTAGGTGTAATATATGCATGGGATGGTAGTTGGGGAAATTTTACAATTGACCCCAGGAAAACCCTAATGATCAAAAATACCCACACTGTATTGGTCATTTCCTGGTTTGATTGTGCAGGGTATTGGTGTGAATTTGCGTGTAAACAATGCGATACCTGTGAAGGCAGATATCGTTCTAGATGACTGGTCAGTCTTTTTAGAACTAACTTGGTAAATTAAAAATGGGATAAGACGTGAAATCCACATGCAGGAACGGATCAAGCAATGATTCATGAGTTGGAAAAAATTGCCCTTTTCTCAAGAAAAATCCATTTTGGCAGGTAAATCTTGTGGAGAGTACCTTCAACTGACCTACACTAACCTTAAAGCAACTTGTGAAAGGAAGCAAAACTCCCTGCAATTTAATACCTTAAAAATACTATATAAATATACTATATAATTCTTTAAAAAATACTACATAAATATTTTAAAAGGAAATACATGGTTTTATGACAACAAAAATTCTATGTAGGTCTTTTTAACAATGAAGACTTTTGTGTCAGTTTCAAACATGCATGTACCAATAATAAATACAGATATAAGTCACCAATACTTTATATGAACAAGAAGTTTTTAGAGAAAATTTTTTAATTAAAAAAAGTAATATTTTATATATAAATTAAAGTGGATCATGAATTTGCTTTAATGCAAAATGTGTTTGTCACTGCTCTTTGTCATTGCAATATTGCAAAAACATCATAGTGGTTGCTTCATAAACAAATTGAGCACTGGCTGTCACTTATGATGGAGCTATGACTTGGTTCATCCATTAGGTTAACTTTAATCTTGATTGTGTAGGACCATGTAGCAGGAAAGTGCATCTCCCTTGCTGTATAGTGAAACTAATATAAAGAGCAGTTTCAGCTTAATTATTAATCATGATACAGTAGGTAAAATTGTCTACAGTTTGCTTATAAATCTTCACAGCCAACAATACATCACCATCTTATGTCATAACCTCTATCATGGATTCTAGAAAGTTCATGCATCTATGAATTTTTGCATATTGAGAAGATTTTTTTGTATGAATGATTCAGCAATATTGATTTGGTCTGTTCAGTTTTCCTTGGTTTATGTAGCTGCAAAAGTCATTCTAGGTTATTTAGACCTCGTTAATGTGCACAGAGGTATTAAACTGATTAGATGTGTCAACAAAATCTATCACCTAGGCTGGCTAGTACCCTCTACCAGGGTGGCAAATATTACAGGGAACATTTGAAAAAAGCCACCCTGTGACTTTTGGCCAGATGGAAGCAATTAAATTTGCACACATGCAGATGGCATTGTACCCGCTCTGTAGGGAGTTATTACAGGAGATTCCTCAGTTAATTTCAATCTGAAGAAACAAACTATTCAGAAAGGGTTATTTTATTTGTCACAAAAGAGCAAGTGATTAAAATAAGAGCAATTAACTGTCTTGATTGCTGTCAAGAGGACTTGGTTTGGGCATGTTAAGTGACAGTGCCTGAACAGTAATGCAAACAATTACCAATCTGTCGCAAACAATCAATCTGTCACCCTGGTAGAGGGTAGCTGGCTAGGAAGGGGGGATAGATGGGATCTTAAGCAAAAATGAAATCAAAAGATTTTCCTGTACTTCAGTAGATCTTGTGACAACCAACAAAGTGCTGTCGGTTCCAAAGTAGGTACTTATTGAAATATCTTTAAAAGATCGATAACTTTTTCCTGTTAAAGATAATAAGAAATTTTCATATGAAGCAAGCGAAGATTCCCTGTAATGCATAAATTGCATATGAATCACAACTGCCATTTTCTTCTTTGGCTCAAATAAAGTCCAAAAGTATTAATAGAATTAATCAATCATGCAGTCAGCCACCCCCTCAAAAAAGACAAGTTTTTAAAGTGCAACTTAATCAAATGTCTCTGTCCTAAATTTAACCCATTTATCCATCCCTCCAGTCCATAAAAGTCTGCCAACTAACTATACGTATGGTGGCATTTGACTGGGTTTAGTGGCAATGATTTGACATGGGAAATTGCTTCAAATGCATCTTTAAATAATCTTGTGAAGTCTCATGATGTTATTATCTATTGTTTGAGAAAAAGAGAAATTTGAGTAACCTTTTTTTATGTACAGACACTGATTGGTCTGTCCGTGCCATCGCTGTTGCTGTCAGACACATGACATTCGCCGCATATCTGCCAAACTATATTTTTGTCTTACTTTAAATTTACTGATTGACTTTGTTTAGTAAAGAAGCAGGTTACTTTCGAAAATTGGCATGACATCCCCAGAAATGCACTGCATGACGTCACGCCTAGCCCACTGCGCATGCGTGCATTTTCAGTGAGTTGCTAGATTGCCGTAGGAAAATGAATGGGTTCGCGATTCGTGGGTAATTCGTGAGAATTGACAAACTAACGGCATGATGCCGATAGACAGAAACGCTGTGCTATGCTTCAAGCAACTCCTGACCAAATATCGCTAGGGTTTTTTAAAAAATTCTGTTGTACACACGTACTTAGAAGTTTGCCGTATATTGCCTAGCTTACCCTCAGCAAAATGCAAATATTTTCAGTAATAGTGATTTTAGACGGTAAATTCACTCAGAAACAAAGGCAAATTAATTCGTTGCGGATAGCACCAGCAGATAGCAGCACCATATAGAGTCTGATGAAAAACTTTCATGGCAATTGAAGATTTTTTACCATGTACTGTACAATGGAGTCCCAAAAGAGGACTTGGCACAAATGTAATACTGCCCAGTGCAAGGTCAAGAATTCAATCAGTATTTTCAATCATATTATCAGATTCTACATAAATTGACTGACCATATCACTACTTAGTATTTAACTAATCACTTAATCCAAAATTCCTATCATCATTTAATAATTATGCAAAATTCTTCTTTCAGATTGCTATTTATTTAAATTTTTAATGCTGCAACTGTTCCAAAATAATCTTGTAGTAAAGGAAAAATGCAAATAAGAAGTGGAAATCCAATTGTACCCACATTATTCAATTATTTGAATATAAAAAGAATAAGATCACTATTTAACAAATTAAAATAATCTTTCATGAACTCTTTCACGAATAACATATTAAACAAAAATAAAAGTTATAAATCAGTGGTAATGGCTTATTCTGGAATATATGGCTGTATTCCCAGAGCTTTTAGATTGATCTATCCCCGCGGGGAGTCTCACTAGATTACTGTCAGATAATCCGGCTTAAATGTCCGTCCCGCCTACTACAAGTTGTAAGGGGGTAATTAACTTTCGTGTCCGCCCGGCTGACAGCTATTTAGCGTGAACCCCCAGGGAGTTAGGTCGATCTAAAGTAGATCGATCTAATCTCTGGAAATGGGGTCTATGACCTCTGCACATCATCAGTACCTGACTTGGTACAGTATAGTTACTACGTGGTTACAGAGTTAGATTTAATAATGTAACAATAAGAACAATATATATTATAATAATAAACTTCTCTGCACATATCAGGCGCTTGTTACCATGAACCATGGACATAATAAGACATCTTATTATGTCCATGCATGAACTAACACTACTTGACAATGGGCTGAGCACTTATCACAGAGTCTGTGTGCGATGCGCTTCTTGTGCTGTGATTGGTTAGTTGAGTCACGTGAAGCCCTACTGTTGCGCCCTCGCGTATCGCGTGAATGCTGCACATTTCTGGCCATGTCAGTTTACAAAGGGTGACAAGGGTTTCATCCTTGTTTTTATAATTATGTTTAAACATGTATTAAGGGCATGCCTGGGTGTTTGACTTGTATTAAATTTAATTGGGATTTTTAATTATTTAGAGTTTTAGTGTTTGAATATTTTATTTTCTGGTGTGTGTGTGTGTGTGTGTGTGTGTGTGTGTGTGTGTGTGTGTGTAATATTTTATTATGACTGTATACATGTTTGGGTCACAATGATACACAGATTTACTGGTGAAATATGAATTTTATCAAATTAGTATTATATATCAGTGTTTTAGTCAATAGAAGTACCAACAGCTAATGTAATAAACCTGGAAGATCTGTTTGGCCAAAAGTCTTTGCCCAGTTCCCAATTTTATGACTCTCAATAGTTTTATTTTATCTAAGTGTATTATATGCATAGATTCAGGAATATTGATAGGAGTTGCCTTTGGGAAATCAAAATTAGATTCTAGTCAGTAATAGTGGATGTCATATTACAATGGCACATGACAATCAGGGTTCTAGATCGCAGCAAAAGCAATATTCCCTAGATTATTATTTTTCAGCAATAACATAGGGGAACATATTGTTAAATTTGTAGATTGACACTTAAGTGGTTTATTCTCTTTTTTTGTGTGTGTCGTGCCACTGGGCTATTTTGGCTAATTTCATTTGAAATGATATGGGGATAATCCACAAGCGAATTGGTAGACCTACATATTTTCTCTTCTTTTCTCCTCTTCTCTGGTCTGCTGTCTCTCTCTCATGTTTTTTTGTGATAGAAAAGGTAGAAACTAGTGTTGGCTCCTAGCATCAAAAGTAGACTTCCATACATACACAGTTACAGTTTTAGATTTAT